CAGGCCCCGCCCGCGCACCTGCGTCCGCCACGTGGCCGAGGCTGGGGAAGCGCTTGAGCACGCGCGTGCTCACCGAGCGCAGCACCAGCACCGACGCCAGGTTGGCGTAGCGCATGAGGGTGCGGCGCAGCAGGCGGCCGCGCTGGTCCGCGCCGTGCACGCTGGCCGAGATGACGCACATCAGCTGGTCTGGCAGCGGGATGCTGGTGTACTGGGACCACCAGCGGTTCACCACCAGAGACACGTAGAAACCTGGCGGGCCGCCGAGGGAGGGGCCGGGAGGGAGCGCGGGGGGGCTGGGACTCAGCGGGGCCGCGCCTCCCTCCTCCCGCCCGCCCGATAGCCGCGTGCAGGCGCTGAGCCAAGGGCGGGGAGGGGGCGCCACACAGCTCCCCGGCTCTTCCTCCACCACCCTGCTGGGCCAGGCCCGGCCAGGAGGAAGGAAGAGTGCCAACTTCCCGGGACGTGGGCGTGCAGGGCGGGGTCGCGGTTAATTCAGGATCTGGCTTCCCTAGATTGCGGAGTGGGCGGTCACCCCTCTGGCTCCTTGCCAGAGTGTGGTAGGGAAGCCAGCTGGTGTCTCCGCCTAGCCCAGTGAGGGCCCGCGAATGACAGGCAGGGCCTATGCCTGGGGGGCTTTGGACCCACTGCCCAGCTCCTGTGCCCGTGCTGGTGGGTTGGGCTGTGCCGCCTGGGCGGTGAATTCAACCCCGAGGTGAGGGCAGATGCCAGGCAGAAATAGCAGGGGCCTCACCCAGTACGAAGGACAGAGGGATGAGGTCCGCAGAGCGGTTGCAGTACCGGGCCACCTGGGCGTACACGTGCCTCTGAGCCTGGCTCAGCAGCAGCCTGGGCAAGGAGGGCAGGCCTGGCTTGCTGGGGAGGTGGACAGCGCAGGCCCCGCGGACCAGCCCTGAGACTCGCCTCACCGGTAGGTGATGCTGAGCGCGGCGTAGAGGGCGACAAAGAGCAGAAACTCCTTGTACAGGAGCTTGTAGATGCTTCCCCTCCACCGCAGCAGCAGGCCGGAGAAGCCTCCGAAGCGCGCCTCGGCCACTTTGAGGGTGTATGAAACCGTCATGGTTGGGCTGGGGATGTGGCTCAGTGGTAGAGTTCTATCCTGGTATGTACAAGGTCCTGGGTTCGATCCCCAGCACCACAAAAACAAAACAAAACAAAACAAAAAAAAACACCAAATCGTCATGGGGTCTGGGGTGGGAGGTCGCAGAGCTGTCCCTCTCCTTGCTGCCTTCCCATCGCTAAGCTCAGTTTCCAGGCACTCTCCTTTCACCTGTGGTCACACCCTCAGCCTTCAGCTCTGGTCGGGGAGACAGAGGCCTGCAACGCCAAGGCCAGCAGCTCCGCCCCTGCAGACCCGGAGTACGAGCTCGAGGCCAGGATGGAGCCCGGCACAGCGGCACACCGCCCTCGTGCGCACCGCTTTCCCAAGCCCTCTCCCACCTGCAGGGCTGGCGAAACCAGACCCTGGTCTGCCGAGGACGAGAGCCCCGTCGCCAGCCCAGGGCCAGTACTTTTCCTTGGGTTTTGCTCTGAAGCTGATTCTCTGGTCCCCCGAGAACCAGGGCCCTCTCATCCCCACCCTCGCCTACCTGCTCTGAGCAGCAGCCTGCGCTGAGGAAGGACTGGGCGCACCTGCACCCTGTGGAGACTTAAGTACCTGTGGGGTCCATAAAGTTAGGCTGGACCGAGGCTGTCATTGATGGATGAGGCTGTCGCCCAGCTTCCCCTGGTCCTGAGAACTGGGTGTGTCTCCCGGCCCCTGCAGGGCCAGGCTGGCTTTTGAGTGGCAGAACTGCCATCTGCACTGACCCCATAGCTTGACACCTGTGTCCTTTGAGCTACCATGATGGATGACAGTCCCATGCTCCGGGCGAGGAGACACGTGGGATAAAGTGTCACTGCTGTACCAGCTTGCTGATCACAGCATGAGGCACAGGCACTGTGCCAGGGGCGCTGCCACATCCCCCGAGCGTGGAACCCTCACAACACCGTGTGGGAGGAACCATCGCCACCACAAAGATCGAGCTCCAGAAGGAAAACGGCTTGGTCACCTTCACACCGCTGGGACAAGTTGGGGGCAGGAGCCAGAGGTGATGGACTTCAGGTGCAGGAAGTAGCCCAAATGGCCAGGCTCTTCCCGAGCCCCATGCTACGGGGCTGACAAGACCACAAATCTGGAAACTCAGGTCCACAGTGCAGAAAGCCCTGTGCACAAAGTCTGGAGTCCCATGGGTCCCCAGGGTCTTGGGTTGGTTCTTTATTTTTTTTTCTCAAGCCCCCTCCCCCCTCATCTCTGGAACTAGAGATTGAAACCGGGAAGTTCTGAGCTATGTCCCCAGACCTTTTTATTTTCCCCAACACTTATTTAAAGTTTATTTTGAGACAGGGCCCTACTAAATTGCCCAGGATGGCTTCAAACTTTTTCAGTCTTCCTGCCTTAGTCTCCCAAGTAGCTGGAATTACAAGGATGGACCACCGTGCCCAGTTCTCATCTTCCATTTATTTATTTATTATTAATTAATTGATTAATTTGTCTTTTTTTTTCCCCAGTACCAGGAATCGAACTCACGACCTTGTGCTTGCCAGGCAGGTGCTGTGCCGCTGAGCTAAATCCCCAGCTCCTAATTTGTCTTTTTGAGACAGGGTCTCGCTATGCAGTTCAGGCTGGCCTTGAGTTCACTTATACAGCCTAAGCTGGTCTCAAACTCCCAGTGATCCTCCTGCCTCAGCCTCCCGGATGCTGGGATTACAGACGTGCACCACCACGCCCGGTTCATCTTCCATTTTTTATCTATCCAAACTGAAAGAAAACTAAGGCACTGATCAAATTAGAAACAGAACTTTGTTTTTCTTTGCTTGAGACAGGCTCTTGCTATGTAGTCCAGACTGGCCTCAAACCCTCAGCAGCCCTCCCACTTCAGCCTCCCAGGTACTGGGATTACAGGTGTATGCCACCATGCCTGGTGCCCTAGCTCATTTCTACCTTCTCCTTCAAGATTCAGCTCAGGAGCTGGGTGTGGTGCATCCTTATAATCCCAGGACTCAGGAAGCTGAGGCAGGAGGATTGCCATGAGGCTAGCCTGAACTGCATAGTGAGATCCTGTCTCAAAACGTTAAAAAAAAAAAAAATCAGCTCAGGGCCATTTCATTCTCTATGCCAGTGCTGCCTATACCTTACTAAACTCTGGTCCAAGGGGCTGGGGATTTAGCTCAGCGGCAAAAGCGCCTGTCTGGCAAGCGCAAAGTCGTGAGTTCGGTTCCCGGTACCGGAGAAAAACCAAAACAAAACAAAACAAAAGAAAAAATAAACTCTGGTCCAAGAAAGGTATAAGTGAGGAGCATTCTGTACCATGGTTTATTCAAGGTAGGCTGCCTGCAGATCAACTGGGTAATGCTGCAAGAAGTAGCCAGCTACAAAAGCTGCTCCTAAAAAAGCCCTGTGCTAGGGAGGGTGAAGAAGCCTCACCATTAGAGGCCTGGTGCTGTGTGCACCATGCAGTTGCACATTATCAGAAGCCCATTGGACATAGCTGTCGATACAATGCATAGATGTCTGTATTAGTATGTATTTGTGATACATAACGCATCCATCATGGGAGGATGTGTACAGATTGCGTCTTAGTCCTTTTTTAGTTCCCTCCCCGTCTCCCTCTTTTTCTAGATCCCCTTTCCATCTGCATAAAGTCTACCTCCCTGTTTCCTATCCTCTAGCTTTTGCTTTGCCCCTTTGAATTATTTCTTTATATAACATAAACCATGCAAGATTTAACCTTCTGTTTTATATATATATATATATTTTTTTTTTCTTCTTTTTCTTTTTTCTTTTTGAGCCAGGGTCTTGCTATGCAGTTCAGGCTGGCCTTGAGCTTAAGCTCACTTTGTAGCCCAGGCTGGTCCTGAACTCTCAATGGTCCTTCTGCCTCAGCCTCCCGAGTGCTGAGATTACAGGCATGCACCACCATGCCCGGCCCTTAACTTTCTGTTATTTATTTATGGTGTCACAATGCATCCTTTTCCCTACAGCTGACTCAAATTTATCTTTCTTTATGGCTGAGTAAGCCAAGAAACACCCCAGTGTATATATATATTTTTGTTTGTTTGGTTGGTTTTTCTTCTGGTTCCAGGAACTGAACTCACGACCTTGTGCTTGCCAGGCAGGTGCTTTGCCGCTGAGCTAAATCCCCAGCCCCCACTGTGTATATATAAACTCCAGATTTTTTTATCCACTCATCTGTTGATGGACATCTAGTTTGCTTCCAAGATTTAACTGTTGTGAGTTATCTTTAAAACATGGATATTATGTCTTTAACTTTTTTGGGAAGAGAACACAGAAGAGGGATAGCTGGGTTGAATGGAATTTCTAGTTTTAGTGTTTTGAAGAATCTCCACAGTGACTTCCGCAGTGGTTTCACACTCCCACCAGCAATGTAGAAGGGTTCCTTTTCCTCCGTAACCTCGCCTGGTTTGTTGTTTTTGAGTTCAGCCATTTTTTTCTGGAGTAAGATGGGACCTCAGTGTTGTTTTGATTTGCATTTCTCTAGTGGCCAAATATGCTGAATGGTTTTTTTTCATGTATTTATTGACCATTTGTATTTCTTCTTCTCTGTAGTGTCTATTCATTTTAATTGATTGCATCACTTATCTGGAGAGATCTAAATTTTTTGAGTTATTTGTAAATTCTAGATATTAGTCCTCTGTCCAAGGAATAGCTGGCAAATAAATTTTCCTATTCTGTAGGTTGTCCTCATTCTGTTTGTTTGTTTGTTTGTTTGTTTGTTTTTTCCGGTACGGGGAATCGAACTCACGACCTCACGCTTGCCAGGCAGACGCTGTGCCACTGAGCTAAATTCCCAGCCCCGGTTGTCCTCATTCTGTTGGGTTTTTTTTTTGTTTGTTTTTTTTTTTGGTACCAGGAATTGAACTTGGGACCTTGCACTTGCCAGGCAGGCGCTTGTGCCACTGAGCTATATCCCCAGCCCCATTCTATTGGTTGTTTCCACTGAACTTTTTTTTTGTTTTTGTTTTTTGAGGCGGGATCTCACTATGTAGCCCAGGCTGGCCTCAAACCCGTGGCAATTTTCCTGCCTCAGCCTCCTGCATATTGGCATTACAGGCATGCGCCACCCCGCCCCGCTCCACTGAACTTCTGATTCCCAAACTCACCATCTAGCATCTAGTGTGAGAAATTTCCCAGGATTTCAAAACAGATCTGTGCTTCCGGAATACAGCTACTGGTGCTTTGCAGGAGGCAAGTGAGGTCTTTAGAGTTGGCCTTTTTGTTTTGTTGTTGTAGCTGTTGTTTATTTTTTGAGACAGGGTTTCACTATGCAGTTCAGCCTGGCATTGAATGCACTTTGTAGCCCAGGCTGGCCTCGAACTCCCAGTGATCCTCCTGCCTCAGCCTCCCGAGTGCTGGGATTATAGGTGTGTGCCACCACACCTGGCCTAGAGTTGGCCTTTTTGAAGACATTAGCCTGTGTGCTACTTGTGCCAAACATGTGGCAGGGTGTAGCGTTACACGTTTATAATCCAGCACTCAGGAGGTTGAAGCAGGAGAATCACTGTGAGTTCTTAATTTATCTTTTTTATTTATTTATTTTTTATTTTTGAGACAGGGTCTTACTATATAGTTCAGGCTGACCTTGAATTCACTATGTAGCCCAGGCTGGGCTCAAACTTGCAGTGATTCTCCTGCCTCAGCCTCCCTAGTGCTGATGTTATAAGCATGTGCTACCACGCCCAGCAAAGGTTCTTTTTTTGGGGGGGGGTCTTTTTGAGACAAAAAGGTCAGGCTGGCCTGGAGCTCTCTTTGTAGCCCAGGCTGGTCTCAAACTCTCAACAATCCTCCTGCCTCAGCCTCTGGAGTGCTGGGATTACAGGTGTGTGCCACCACATCTGGTTTAATTCATTTTTTATCACTGGGAGTTCAGGGCCAGCCTGGGCTATGTATTTGTCTCAGAAAAAAAAAGAAAACAAAAAATGCATCCACTGTGATAGCAACCATTTCATTTTCCAAAATAAATAAAGAAAGCCAGGGTGGTATCTCAGTGGTAGGGAGCTGTCCTGAGGCCCCAGCTCTGGTCCCAGTTATGCACACATCCAGCTTGTGGGGGAGAGGATGGGGGATGAGGTGAAAATGATCAAAGTATGTTACGCATGCATCCGGCCGGATGAAACCTCGTTTCTATAACCAATACGCACTAGTAAAGACATGAAAGAAAAAATTTGTTTTTCCCCTTTTCCCTGTGAGCAATAGTTCTGAATTTTAGATATTTTTTCCATGGGGCCAAAAGTACCTAAGTGTCTGACTGCAAATGGAAAAATAGAGAACAGAAATGAGATATTGGCAGTTTTTCCATTTTCATTTGGTGTGAAAAACTTCATTTTTTAAAAATAGGGTCTCACCATGTAGCCTAGGCTGGCCTGGAACTCTCCCTGCGCCTGTCTCAGGAGACCCTCCCCCTCAGGGCTAGGGTTACTAGAGTGTACCGCCACTTCCCTGTCCTTTATTTTGAGACAGGGTCTTGTGCCTTGCACCCTAACGTTGGATCCTCCTGCCTCAGCCTCCCCAAGTTCCTGGGACTTCCGGTGTGTTTACCATCAATCACTGTGCCCGGCTGGGTTTTCTTGCCTCAGTGACTCACCGGTCCAATCTTCCAACAGAGACAGTTCTCCTGCGGCCCCAGGGACACTGAGTACAGGACTGAGTCTGAGCTGCCTCAGTAAACCTGGGGAAGACCTGAAAGCTAGCAGGTGGCCTTTCACTCTCCCCTCTCTCTCCCTGTCTGTCTCTCCGTCCCTCCCGCCTTTATTCCCTCTGTAGTTAACCTGAAAGACATGGGGTTTCACACTAGCGCCCTCCCCTGGCTCTTTTGAGCGGTGTTCCTGATAGTACAAGGTCTGGAACCCTAACTTGGCCTGACTGCAGTTCTGTCCTTCCAGTTCCAGGTGAGAGGTCAGCAGGAATAAAGAACAGGACTATGTGTGTGAATGATCCAGAACTGCTGGGTACAACTCTACACACTTGTATTCCCAGCACTGCGGGAGGCTGAGGCAGGAGGATTGAAAGTTCAAGCCCAGTCTGGGCAGTCTAGCAAGACCCTGTCTTGGGGCTGGGGATTTAGCTCAGTGGCAAAGCGCCTACCTGGCAAGCGCAAGGTCGTGAGTTCGGTTCCCGGT